TGTCTCAACCAGTGATCGATGGGCGCTGCTGATCAGCAGTGATGGCACAGAGGAGGAGCAGAGCAGCCGGAAGGCCACAGGCAACCTGCTCCCTTTGCTGTGCATGCTGAGGTGTTGCCTTTAAGCATCTGGAGATTTCCATGCTGGCTGTCTTGACTTTGTTACATAGGTCTTTATGAGATTATTACCAAGTGATGCACAGCACTCGGGATGGTATTTATATTAGCCTCCTCTTAAAGCATACCTTCTGCTGCCAGGTCAGCCATGCTGAGCAAATGCAATTACTCTGAACAGCAACACCTCACTGGGACAACAAGATGCTGGTGCCTACGTGTGCTGTGGCCCAGACCAGCTCCCTTGTGCTGCAGGACCTCAGGCAGAAGCTGGTACCTCCTCCAGAACGTGTGTTTTGTGATCTTTGTGAATGTACATCTCTCACGTGAATGAACACTGCTGTGGAGCAGCTCTGCACTTTGCTTTAGGCTTTGGGCAGCCTCATTGCTGAAGATTTCCTTCTTTGACATTGCAGCTGTGATTTGGATATGCTGAATGGTGGAGATGAGATACTGCATGGGGAGGGGGAGATTGTGTATTAAGCCTTTGTGGAAGGACATACTGCACGTTTTCTGCCTGAGTGTAGCCAAAGGCTGTTCATGATCTTTGCTGTAGTAGAATCCAACAATATCAGATCTGTTTTGTGTGAGGCCTGTGTGAGCTCTGGGATGAAATGTCTTACAATTAAGAATATAACAACATCCATCACCATCACAGCCTAAAACAGCAGCTAGAAAACAATGAGACTAAAATTATACTACTGCTATGTCCTGAAGTGTGAAATAGTGGAAGCTGATAATATTCCTTTGGTTTGAGAGGATGTCTAGTAATGTGCAGGCTGTATCCTCTGCAAAACAGGTCTGGATGGCATAAATAGGTTCTAGTTAGCAGTTGGTGGCACTATGTGGGGGGTTTTTGTCAGTTAAAAAGGACAACAATGTGCTGCAAAGTGTCAAATGGCATCGTGGGGCTATGTCCTTATTGCCACTCAATGGCTCTGCATTGAGTGTGTTCAGATTAGAAGCAGAAAGCTGGCTTTTCCGCCTGCCAACTTTGACTCCATCTGGGATCTAATATTCAAGCTGTGTCTTTCCTGGCTCTGTTGCTAATAATAAAGAGTCTTCACTTGGAAGTTACTTCAAATTGATACTGATGCATGAGCTGACAGAATCCAGCTCACACTCCTCGAGACGTGTGAGCTAAAGCACCAACAAGGAGGAGCATAATCGTTTGAATCTATCAGGTCATCAGATGATTTAATAGACACCAGATTTATGGAGGCAACAGAAGATATTTCAGCATAACAAGCATGTTGATGATCCAGCTTTTTAACGAATGCTAGAAAGCTGATTGAATTTGGTCAGCAAGGCTTCTGCTTCCAGACTAGCCAGTAATAGCTCATAATGTGCCTTTAGGAAGCTTTCCTGCAAATGGGGGGAAATTACATTTGGTGCAACATATGGTGCAATCTCCAACTGCTTGAGAAGTGGAGTCTGACTACTCAGTCAATGAATTGCCATATTTTTATCAGTAGAATGGATGTGCAGCTGTGATATATGCTGTTGAGTGATATAACCTTTAATGTCTTTGGCAAATACTGGCATTAGCAGTCTGTTCCTCTCCATTTGCATCTCCTCCAGAAAGCCATTACCAGCTGAGATTATACTAACACTTTCTATAGTCGT